TACTATTACCATCACCACCACCAATCATTTATTGAACACTCAGGGTACAGATCATCACTTTTAATGTTTATGCCACAACAAGGTAGGTAATATTATTATCCTGACTAAGGATATTGTAGTTGGGTTTTGAATTGATGATAAGCAGTTCTCAATATCACATAACTGTCACATGGATTTGAAAAAAGTGGTCTGGCTCTTAGGTACACATACCTGGTCAGTGCGCTCCCACAGGGGGAGTGCCACTCAGCCAAAAGCCAGTTTCACAGCGCAGTGGCGGTGGCAGGAGTCTCTCCCACCTCCATGGCAGTCCGACATCCCCTGAAGGCTCCTAGACTGCAAGGGAGTGCAGGCTGGGTTGAGGGACCCCCTCTCTGAGTGCACGAATTTCGTGCACCAGGCCTCTAGTCTAGTATAATATTTTAAATACTTTAAGGGCCCAACAAATGTGTTGGGGGCTATTTGCCTTTATTATTTTTAAAAAAAACATTGGATAAATTGAGTATATAATAAGAATAGAAATGTTACATATTTTTTTGTTTTGTAGAACAAAGCTTTATGGCATTTCAGAGTAGGATTTCTAAAAGTATTTTTCTCAACTTTTCTCATCCTAGTACACTCTTTGTTTTTATAGCCAGTGTTCAGCAGACAACTAGCCACAAAAATTTAGTTTTCAGAAAGTGTTTGTTTGATTTGGCTTTATATTATTTCTCCTCCAAGAAAAGATAAGATTAAATTTAGAATTAAATAATATATGTGAAGAGTATTTCATAAATCAAAGTAGAATATAAATGTAGGTGGTGTGGTGGTAGTAATGATTTTTGGTTCTTAATTGCATTTAGTCTTGGCCGTAATAGGCAGGAAAGGAAGATATGGAGCTTGGGCCAAGGAGAAGGGCAGTTGGCTCACTCTGCCCTCGTGATCCGGCTGGTGTGTTCTCTGGGCTTCCTGGACCTGATCCTTACTCGATTGGGAGTCCTGGTTGGCATGAAAAAAATAGGCACTAAGGACAGGTAGGGAATGGCTACAGGGCCATCTCTGAAGGGCTAAGTAAGGAGGACATTAGCAGAAGAGGTAAACACGGGCCAAGGAGAAGGGCAGTTGGCTCACTCTGCCCTCGTGATCCGGCTGGTGTGTTCTCTGGGCTTCCTGGACCTGATCCTTACTCCATTGGGAGTCCTGGTTGACATGAAAGATAGGCACTAAGGACAGGTAGGGAAAGGCTACAGGGCCATCTCTGAAGGGCTAAATAGGGAGGACATTAGCAGAAGAGGCAACCATAGGCAACCATATTCTCTATGGAGAATAGAGACAATGCCAGTCCCTGGGGTTTAGAGAAATGGACATCTTTTCTCTAATGTGTTCCTGCTTGATATTGCAAATCAGAATGGGGACCACCTCAGAAAAAGCATGCAAAGATTATTCAACTAGGAATGTAGGAGACTAGATGTGTCAGGGAGCTCTATGGGGATGGGAGGCTTGGGGTGCGGTAAGTGAAAGAGAGGGGTTAAAGGATAGCTTTCCATTCCCAAAGACTTGGAAGGTCTCTTTCTTTTGAAGTTAAGGGTTTTGCCTTTTGTTTATGGAGCTCTTGACTGGTGTAGAGAATTCAGGGTAGGGACCTTAGGAGAGGTAGCAGGAGAAGCTCCTTTAGATTGACTTAGGGGAGGAGAGGCGAAGGAGGCCTTTCTCTGTCTTCCTAAATTATACCTAGAACTCAGATTTAAAATAGAATTTATCTTTCTGTTATTAAAGAACTGAGTGTTTGGCTGAAGTTTTCTTTGTGTTGTCTCTAGACAGTGGTTCTCAACCTTCCTAATGCTGCGACCCTTTAATACAGTTCCTCATTTTGTGGTGACCCCCAATTTCATTGTTACAAATTGAACATAATTAAAGCATAGTGATTAATCACAAAAACAATATGTAATTATATATGTGTTTTCCGATGGTCTTAGGCGACCCCTGTGAAAGGGTCGTTCGACCCCCAAAGGGGTCGCGACCCACAGGTTGAGAACCGCTGCTCTAGGAGGATATTGGAGAGTGAGGAACCACAAGCAATCCCAAATAACAGTTAAGAATTCTGATCTCTAATTTCTGTGATTAAGTGTGATGCTACTACTATTACCATCACCACCACCAATCATTTATTGAACACTCAGGGTACAGATCATCACTTTTAATGTTTATGCCACAACAAGGTAGGTAATATTATTATCCTGACTGAGGATATTATTGTTGGGTTTTGAATTGATGATAAGCAGTTCTCAATATCACATAACTGTCACATGGATTTGAAAAAAGTGGTCTGGTTCTTAGGTACACACACCACCCTTTTACGGCCAACCAGGGAAATCAGATGTTCTACGATGAATCTCCCGTTCAATACCCCTTGGTATTGCAACTCACACTTGAGATTGCTCTGCTTTGGGAAATAATTTCCTATTTGTCTTTTTCATAATGTGTTTTCCATTTAATTTAATTTCATTCTTGCTCTAAAACATTCAGTCTTCTACCTGGTGAGGCAGATAGGTATGATACCAATTTTGCAAATGAGGACCTGAGGATCACAGGTCGTCATGTAAAACTTTCACCTAAGGACATACACCTGGTAAGTAGCAGGGCCAGGACATAAATCAAAGTCTTTTGATCCAAAGTCCAAGTTTATTCCAGTTGGCCTTCATTTTAGTCCTGGGCTTATGCCTTTTGGTCTTCCAGGAATTGTGACCCCCTTTAACACTTTAATAATTGACTTTTTTTTGTAAAAACAACAACTAACACAACCAACAATAAGGTCAATAAGTTATCTTTCTTTATCTATCTACATCACTCTATTGAATTATTGAGTTATCTACTAACCAACTACAGTATTTGGTCTTCCAGGAATTGTGACCCCCTTTAACACTTTAGTAATTGACATTTTTGTAAAAACAACAACAAACACAACCAACAATAAGGTCAATAAATGTATCTTTCTTTATCTATCTACATCGCTCTATTTAATTATTGAGTTATCTACTAACTAACTATGTATCTTTCTATCCCAGGATTTTTCAACCTTAGCACTACTATTGACACTTGGGGCTGGATAATTCTTTGTTGTGTGTGGGGGTATGTACTGTACATTGTAGAATGTTTAGCAACTTCCCTGGTCTCCATCATTAGATACCAGTAGCACCCTCCCCAGCTTCCCCAATTGTGACTACTAAAAATGTCTCAGACATTGCCATATGTCTCCTGGGGATTGGGGGCAAAGATCTCATTCAGTGGAGAACCACTGCCGCAACTCTTAATTGCTTAACCAAATAAATAGATTAGCTTAGATTCATTTTTTATTTGAGGCATCATGACTGAGAAGGTAAATGGAACTCATTTAGAGTCCTCATCCCAAAGGCTTTTTAGTGGAGTTAGCAGGGTTTTGTTGTTTACGAAAAATGTCTAAGACTCATCAGTGGGTACTTCTAAAGATGAAGGAATAGTGGCATCTCATAAACCAGAGGCTTCTTGCCAATTTCCATAGGTAGTTTGGTCTAGAGCAGGGGTCCTCAAACTTTTTAAACAGGGGGCCAGTTCACTGTCCCTCAGACCAAGAGTCCTCATCCCAAAGGCTTTTTAGTGGAGTTAGTAGGGTTTTGTTGTTTAAGAAAAATGACTACGACTCATCAGTGGGTACTTCTAAAGATGAAGGAATATTGGCACCTCATAAACCAGAGGCTTCTTGCCAATTTCCATAGGTAGTTTGGTCTAAAGTTTCAGCTAGCTAGAATGACCTTGTAAAAACTGTGTACTTCCCGGGGAAGGCTTTAAGTCCAGAATCTAGAAGACTTCCATTCACCTGCTTATAATGACTCTCCTTTATCTGAAACATCTACTGGGTTCCATCTGATATTATTTTTCTTATAGCCTAACCTTTGCATTATGCAAAATCCACATAGCACTTAGTGTGTATTAATAAGTGTTTATTGATATGCATGCTATAATATATTCTTATGTAGTTAAAATATTTTGTGTCTATACTTCACAGATAATCTATAAAATCTTCTTAGTGGTAGAGACAGTTTCTTTTTGTTAAATTCCCAACTATGCCCAGTGCAGTGCTGTGAAAATCCACTGTAAAAATTGTCATTTCAAGGAGACCAAGCAATGACTTCATACTCAATGTTCTTTTCATGTCCCTTTGGTTGGAGCAAGTAAGGATACAATCAGATATTAGTGGTCCAATGAGGTGTACTGATTTAGTTTAATTACCTGTGCTGACAAATATCCGTTTCATTTATTTAATCATTTATTAAACAAACAATTTAAGGACTTCCTTGTGAAAGCTGGTAGAAGTACCATGTTGAGTAGAACATGTTATGTCCATCACATTAGTCAAATATTAGGTATTAAGTCATAGTCATGAATAAGTAGGTTCCCATGGATCACAAAATAAGGTCACCTAACCCAGATCAGGGTCTCACAAAAGGCTTCTTAGAAGAGGTTATGTCTAAGCTAGGTAATGAAAGATGGGTAGATTCAACGTGGTAATGAATCAGAGGAAAGCTTTCTAGGCAGATATACAAGTGTGTGTGTGTGAAAACTCTGAGGTGAGCAGGAATGTGGCTAGGTTGTGGAATTCTGCCGTATGCCTGCTTTGGTGACTAATCTGAACACAGACATCTCTTTTGGAGTTTCTCCTATCGGTTGCTTGTTTACCAGTTGCTATAGGTGAAATTGAGAGCTTTGAATCTTCAAGCCTCCATTTTCTTATTTATAAAATTATAAGAATTTAAAAATTCTAGTTGGCAATGGTTAAAGGAGATCATTAAAATAAATCACTCAGCGTAAGTCATTTATCTGGCAAAAAATATTACCTTATAAGCAACAGCCACTGCTACAATGAATAATCATAATAACCACCACCAGAGTGTGCAGTGCATTTGCCAATCCCTGGGCTGCATTTTGAACTCTGAGTCTATGAGACATTAGAAATCACACAATTTGGTTATTGTTTCTTCTAATCGCAGGTGACCATGCAGCATATGAAGAGCAAGAAGACCCTAGATTTTGCAGCAAATGTGTGGTTATCTCGAATCCAAGCCGAAGGGGATGTTGTCTGTGAGCTTCCTGCCATAAAAGGAGGACAAGCTATGTTTCCATGTGTGTTATGATCTGCAGTAACATATCTTGCATATACAAATTGTTTTACAGTTGCTTAAATTTATTTCTGAACTATTTAGTTACAGAATATTTTTTCCTATTTCCAAGAGAGTTGTTTTACCCGTTGAGAAGTGACTTTTTCAGCATCACAGCACGAGTCACTGGTGGATCTGGGATTAAACGTAATCTCAAAAAAGGTTCTTACTGTCCAGCTACAGTCTCAGGGGCTGAGGCTATGACAAAGAAAAATGTCACATCTGTGTTTCCTCTGGCTTTGCCTGGGCCAGTGGCCACCTAATGTCATTACCTCACTAATGATCTATTTCCTCATCAAACCCTACATAATTTTAAACTTTAAGCATCATGCACAATAACATTGTCACCTTTGCTGTTAAAATGCTAAGCATGAAATCTTTTCCTATGCCATACATAAAAAACAATAACAGCCTTTTAAAAATCTTTTATTTCTCTTTCTTAAAAAGCTATAAGCTTCCTGGGCAATTGTTCATGATGTGAAAATGCCATTTAAAATTAAAATTAATAATTGAAAGATAAAAAAGTCTCTCAGTACAGAAAGTCCAGATTAAGGGAATTCTCATGTGATTTTTTTGTTTCTTTGTTTTTACTGTAGTCTAGCCCATGGGTCTGGGTCCTGTTTGCATGGACTCCCATGTGATGGATTTCCTCTTGTTTCTCTCCCCTTTGCTTTGCCAGTAGTGAGATACCATGTTGACATCCACACTGGGCAACTGAAGAGAGCAGAAACAGAGTCGGAAGTTTCCCTGTGTCTCTATGGGGAGAGGGGAGACTGGCCTTAGACTGCTGTGCAACTCCATCATGCCAGTCAAATTTCAAAGAGGACAGGTGAGTCTGCGCAAGTAACTCCCCCTGTTCTTCGCACTCTCTCTGAAGGTGCCCGTACATGATTGAAAGTGAAAGGTGCTCACAATGCTTCAAGTTTCCATTTTAGGACGTCTTTAGCAAAGTTTCCTGACCCAGCTTCCTAATGTGCTTTATTTTAGAAGTTGTTCTCAAAAGGAAAATGGGACACCCTATACTAGGTTTGAATAACAGAACAAAGATAAAGACACTCAAAATTAGTAATAGTCTTAGAATAAGAAAAAGATAAGTTGAGATGATATCAGAGAAAAATATACATGAACATGCTCTGTTGAGACTGAAAGTTACAAAGTTTGTGCTAAACGGTGAGGTTATAGAAAAGCCATTATAGTACATTTCACATAATAACACAATAGCCTTTCTTTAAACATCTTGCCTGGTGCCAACTATATCATTTTCACACATTAAAGTCCTTTATTATTTATTTTGTCATATATGAGAATCTTTCTGTGTATTAGGTATCTGAGGAGTTGTGCTGAGATACATAATCAATCCAGTTAGATTTTTTTATCCTCACCTGAGGATATGGGTTTTTTAAAATTGATTTTAGATAAAGGAATAGAGAGAGAGATTGCGTGATAAAAATGTCAATGTAAGAAAGAAACATTGACAGATTGCCCCCTATATACCCCCCGACCGGGAATTGAACACACAACCTAGGTATGTGCCCTAACCAGGAATTGAACCCCTAACCTTTTGGTGTAAGGGTCCATGATCCAACCAATTGAGCCACCCAGCCAGGCAATCCAGTTACTTTTTGAAGTTATTTTGCTATATATATAGAAATACAGAGCTATTTAGGGGGTCTGAAATTAAGAGTAGAGATTATGTAACCCGAGGGTATATTTTTAAAAATGAAGGTTCCCAAACCAGTTTGAGAATGGTGTTTCTCATACTTTTTTTGTAGTTTTAGTTCATGAGATATTTTGAAACATCAGAGGTGTTAAAGCTCACCCGAGTTTTTATTTATCATGGCACATTATACAGAAGCTTTCATCAGAATGAAGAGGAAAACTAGAACTGGTATGGATGAGGGGAAACACAAAATTATGCCTAATTTTTGCTGTGAAACTGAGTTATAAATTTTGAGCAAAACCACAATCTTATATACCATGATATTATTGTTACTATTATGCCAAGTGATTAGTGAGGTTATCCACTGGAGAATCTTCCCAGCTTTCCATCAGTCCCAGATGCTCACCCTACCACTTCGTGATCAATTGTGAAGCTTCAGTACCTGCTAGTTGGTCGCCAGCATGCAGTGTTGTGTGAAGTTCCCAGCTTTCCATCAGTCCCAGATGCTCACCCTACCACTCGTGATCAATTGTGAAGCTTCAGTACCTACTAGTTGGTCGCCAGCATGCAGTGTTGTGTGAAGTTACATGCTCAGATTTGACAGCTCATCATTTACCACAGAGTGGAGAAGACGTATTATAGGTTGAAATTAAAGTTGCAATCAGTACATAAATAAGTGGCATGATTTTAAAATTTAAGACTAGAGGTAGAAAAGTGTTCCCTGATTCATTATGGATCTCACATTTTTCTGTTATTTTCCTCACTGCTTGGAATGTAATGGAACTGCTGAATGATTGCAAGAATTTTGCATTCGAGAAACTGTGGCAACAATCTTTTGGTTTATCCCCAGAGCAATTTCACACCAGCCACAACTCACATCGTCAGCCACTGATTGGGCTGGTTGTTGTCATTTTCTCTACAAAGTGTCCAGCGATGTAATCAAAAGGCAGCAACATCCATAATAGACTGAGTTTAATTTTATCTTCAAAAGTTAAGTTACTTTAAGAGACAAGAAGAAACCAGAAAGCTGATTCAGGAAATCTTTCTGGACCTTGAGGTATTTGCTCTAAGGCAGACCATAAGACAAAGACTGGAGTACAGGTAATTTATCTGGGAGGTGATCCCAGTGAGCACCTTTGAGGCGAAGAGTGGGGAAAGTGAGGCAGGAAATGGGGAAAAGCCAATATAGGGACATTAATGAGTTAATTACTACTGGAACTTTTTCTTGTTAGGTATCTTTCGAGACACTCTGCAGGACATCCCGCAAAATTGTCCCACCCCGGGAAGTCCTCAGGCAAAGAAGCAGTGAGGTGTAGGGACTGAGAAGGAAAGCTGCCAGCATGCCTAAGCCAGCTAGCAAAGCAGCCGATGACCTCAGAAATGGACTCAGATGGCAGGGGGTATCAATTATATCTGCTACAGCAGGTGATGCATATCAAGAAATGTCCCTTTAAAGGCATCCCAGAGAACATGCACAATCATTATCTGATTTAAAGAGATGTCATGGGACTAGTAATGGTTTCTGTTTGGTCTAAACAAGAGATTTCCATAAAAATATGTGGACCCAACAGTCGACACCCAGTAATATATCATGAATACCAAATTGAAATTTAACCTGGTGGCAATGTAAGCAAATAAGCAGCCCTGAATCAGCATTTCTACCACAAAGCAGAAAAAAGTGGCCAATAGTCAGATGGCATGTCTGGGAAGGTCTCAGACATAATCAAATTCATGACCCTTTTCTCAGATAATTTTAGGGTGGTTATTCCCAGCAACAATCTATGAGGAAGTAATGTGTGAAGGAGTTCTTTTTATTTTAATCAATGTAGCATTTACTTTAGGTCCTACATCTCTGGAAATTCAGTAACTTTTTGACATGATAAAGCAACCCTATTTAGAAATGAAGACGCCAGATGCTCTTTCACAACAAACCCAAGAATGTGCTCTATCTAATTTATGGAGAGAGGTACAGGAGAGAAATTTTAGAGAATGGAAGGAAGAAAGGGGAGGTGGGGAGAGAGGAGAAATGTGTGCCTCCATGTCTCAAAGTAGATCAGCATTCATGAAAACGAAATGTGCTGCATATGGGGCCACGTGCTGCAACCTGACCACCTAATAAACTGCATACAGTGGCAGAAATCCAAGCCAGAGAAAAGCCACGGACTGGAAACCTTGGTATTAGGGCTTATTTATTTGTTACAGTGGATACTACCGCAAATGGAGAAAATAAAACTGCAAGAGAGAAAGAAGCACAGCCAGAAATAGATTTCTAATAGATAAAAAAGTAATTTGCTTATTTTTCTTTCCTTATTACCCCTTTTGATGCTGGCTGTAGTAACATTATCTCTTTTAAAGTATTATGCTGCCTCTGGCCGTCCTTGGGTTATTATTATTGCCTGCATTTGTCATGTGCTGGGCTCAAGTTATTTCTGTGGGGTTTTCCTCTGTCTCCTGCACCAAACTGACACATTTCAAATAGAAGCAGTGTCACTTGGCAAGCTGCAGAAGGTGCTGTTGCGCTGTGAGGCCAGTGACAAATCTCAATACTGGTATTGTGAGAAGGTCATTGTCAGAGAACCTGGCACCGCATCCCAGTCCATCTTCACCTGTGAAAGGTAGTGCTGGTCTCCATGGTACTTCAAGAGAGTGTGCTGCAATGCGGACAATCCTGTGTGTGTGAGTGTATGTGTGTGTTTTAGGTGCATGGATTTGTGTCATTGACTCAGTATTCCACAGCATGTATCACTGTTGTTTAAGTAAATAATCTATTGGTAAGTATTGCAAGTAAAAATTATCTTGCACCCTAGCCAGTTCGGCTCAGTGGATAGAGCGTCGGTCTGTAGACCGAAGGGTTCATTTCTGGTCAAGGGTACATGCCCAGATTGCAGGCTGGATCTCCAGTAGGGGGCATGTAGGAGGCAGTCAATCAATGGTTCTCTCTCATCATTGATGTTTCTATCTCTCTCCCTCTCTCTTATTTTCTGAAATCAATAAAAATTATCTTGCAATTTCTTGGTATTTCAATGTGCTATATGTCACAAAAGGACCAGAAGATGAACACTGAAAAGTATCACATACATTGTGAGAATATTTGTTTAAATGTTGGCCTCTTTACATTACTAAAATCGTCACGATATAACAATTTCATAAGGGAATTAAGTGAGGAAAATTTTAGAGAGAACTCTCGGAACAGCACATAAGAAAGACAAAAGACAACGATTAAAATCTAGATAATTTGGGCTTTCCCTTGAGCCCAAGTCCAGGAAGCAACTCCCTCCACTTCTGACCTGGCCCTACTGCCTTTAAGCCTTGCTCTCTAGATTCTTACCAAGTCTCTCAGGAAAACTCCCCGCTGGCAGGGAGGCACCGAGTTTATTGTCACTTGGTCTCTCAGTCACCGGGAAGAGGATGGGCCCCAGACCCATGAATGCAGTTGAATAAGAATAGGTTTCCATGTGAAAACCCAGTCTATTGTGGACATGGAAGAAGAAACTTTGGGGTTCTTTTTGGCATTTTGAATCTTTAATGTTGGGAACTGTCCAACAGTCTTTACAGATTTTCTTTTCCTTAAAAGAGGCCACTCTTAATAATTTCTTGCTATTCTGAGAGTGTATTTGTGCTGCTGCAGATTTCTGGTCTCTTCTTTGTCAGTTTGAGCCAATCCTTGGTACAAAAGTGACAAGTAGTGATGGTGGGAAACTGACAGAATGAGGCGCAGGGATGAGTCTTGCTCGTTTTTCGGTATGGGGCTGGAGACATAGAACCTTCTTACATGCATTTAGTATTTCTTCTGCCATATTCAATGTGAGTCAGGGGTTGCCATATGTAAAATGTATCACAGACAAGATCTATGCTATGCCAACTTTTTATGCTCTTTTCCCATGGAAACAACTCATATTTTTTAGGGCAAGATCACTCACATTCCATGGTTGTCTACTTTCATCTTAAGAGTCTAGAAAAAAAATGTTTTTTTTCTAGATTTTTTTGTTTCTGTATTTGTGTTTTCTACTTAGCCCGTAACTCTTGGGTGATCTGGGCTGTTCAAGCATGCTTTTTGCTGGTGGCTGTATAAAATGTATGATGTTCTTGGACAAGCAAGACCCTAGCTTTTGAAAAGTGGAAAGATGAGCAGTGCTAACAGCTCAGTGGAACTGTCTGAGCTCACAGTTCACCTTTATACCCCAACTCCCGCACCATCTGGTGACTCCAGGGCCAGTGTGGTGGAGTAAGTCCCATAGCTCAGCCTTGGAATACCTTGGCATTTGGGGTCCAGTAACCACCACATTTTCCTACCCCCACCTCTCATGTCTTTTCCAGTAGCTCCCGTGCTCCAGCCACATGGAGTCTCATCTCTGTACCATTGCCAGTACTATTTTCTCTCCTTACGGTGCCTTCCTGACCTCTTGTTTGCCTGTCAAACATCTACTTTCTGTCCAACCTGTCGCTCAAGTATCATATCTTTATTGAAATTTGTATGTTCTTTATTCCTTTACTTCCCCATTCTTGCCATTAATAAGTGGTCAGTCTCCTCTTCTCCTATAATATCTGCAATTATTTCTTACATCACCTACAACACTTGGTGAATTGATACCTTTACACATCTGTTTTCTTCTTTCACACTGAACTTTTCTTCAGCACAGTTTCCTTGTCTCTCTCGGTCTTGTATTCCGCAGCACTTAGCAAAGTGCCTGCCACACAAAAGGTGCTTTCTAAATATTTATTGAATAGATGGAAGGAATGGAAGTGTGTTTGAATGTGCAATCATTTGAATAACAATAACTGTGGTTATTGTGGTAAAGTAGTAACATTTATGTACCTACTTTAATAGTACATAAAGTATTTTTACGTGACTATTCATTTCAGCTTCACAACAGCTCTGTGAGGCAGGCGACTTAGTAAAGAGAGTAGTATCACAAAGCCAGCAAGTGGGAAGGTTGGCTTTCGGAGTTCAGCCTTGGCTTTTTCTGCCAAAAGGAACTTCTAACACAGGAGTTTGCTTGGTTGAAAGGGAAGCTGGTATGATTAGCTATCATTCCAAAGTGGTAATATTTTCACCAAATTTTAGGGTAATATTCTTTTTGAAGACAACGAAGGAAAGATATTAAAGAAAGCTATGAGAAAGCAAGACAGAGGATGTTAGAGATACAGGTTGTATTAAAGATTGAGGATGTATTAAAATGGTGGAGCTTATTTTTCTGTGCCAAGTTATCCTCAGGCCACACTTTTGGACCTAGCCCACGTATCAGGTTCAGTCTTAGACCTGGCTTGCCTTTGTTACAGCTTGGTATGTGGAGTGTGCTCCCCAGGGGCCTCAGTTGTATTTACAAGTGTTCCTGATTGAGGACTGGTAAACCTGAAGAGGTAGATGGTTAGCAGGGTTAGTAATTTATGTATTTTATTCTGCAAGCCACAGTTGTGACATCATTCTTACCAGTGATGAGTCCATAGTATATTGGATCATGTTTGATTTAAAGCTATTTTAATAGTTACCTTTTAATATTCAAAATCAATGAAGAATAAGGCTTATTGTAAAAATTAAGAAAAACAAAAATTAATTTTCTCTCTTTTTTCTTCTTTTTCTTTTTTCTGTTCTTCAGATGGCTTCCCTTTATGTCTCAGGGCATAATTCATTCAGAAATTGAACGTTATCTTCAAGGTGAGGATTAACAAAATCTTCAGTACAAGAAAATACAAGATGATTTTTATAAACTGGACGTCATAAAATAATCCCCAGTTGTTCCCAGAATGTCCCCTTTGATAGTGTACCCTTTGCATCAAATTTATAATTATTTTTCACAGTGAAAATAAAAGCATATATAAAGATGTGTCTTGCAATGTTATATGCCCTACTGTAAGTTACAAATTAGTCTAAGGATTTGCTATACTGTTAAAGAGTTAAACTCACACTTCTTTTTCTTCCACTTATGTCATCAGACAGATCTATTATTAACTGCACTTCACTTTTATTTTTTTGCAGAAATGCAAATAAATCATCAACCTAAAATACAAGAGGAGGCAAATGGTAAATGTTGTTGCCACTTTTCATCTTTTAATCATCTGAAATAACTGGTTTCTTTTTCAAGATGACCTATCCTGACCAGTTTTTGTATATTCTTATTGTATATTATTAAACTATTGATAGAAAAATATTTAAAATGAATATAGGCACAGGCATTAAATTATTGCTTGGTTTATAAAGAAAGTAACATAAATGACCTTAGCTTCAAATGCTTTTTCTTTTCAATAATTTAAACATAAGAGAAATAATCATTTTCAAATGATTAATTTCTATTCATTGTACTTTTTCTTTATTAAATTTGCATATTGATTTCTAGTTTTCTTTTTAAGTCTTTTTTTTTAATTAAATCTTTATTGTTCAGATTACATTTGTTCCTCTTTTTTTCCCCCCCCATAACTCCCCTCCTCCCCGTTCCCTCCC